AACCTGGGCATTCTGGGCAACCAGTACTACTCAAGCTGACTGCAACAAAAGGCAGGCTGGGTTCTGCAACACCTTTGGAAACATGTCTTCGGTGATGGACTTGATGCACCACTGTGGTCTTAGAACTCACACACCTCTGTGGAAATCGCCCTTGCTCAACACCCTGCCCCCTTTCCCAGTGTTTGGTCAGTGAGAGAATACAGAGACTCAGCATCCTCTGATCAACGGGAGACTACCCTCAGAAGGCTATCCCAGCTCCCTATGGGATCTGACAAGGGCCACCCTCATTAATACTGCATCACACCCCAGCTTCTCATGCACCCACTCCCGCTTCCTCCCTTGCAGGGTCTTCTGCTGAGAACCCCTAGACAGACTCCCTACATCTGAGTCTACAGAGAACCCCACTTGTAACAGCCCTTTTCTGACACGAAAATCTTACACTTCATTCCACTGACCAGTGTTTGGTTTTGTTTCCAATTTGAAACAAATCCAATTACACACTCAACCTCTCCAATCTAAGGAGGGCCTCTGCTTAATATCCAGCAGAAATCCTCATTCCTTATTGCGATCATATAAATGGCTGCATCTCCCCCAACCCAATTCCTGTTTAAACTTCCTAATTAAAACACAAAGATACTCGCATTGTAAAAGCAAAGGCCCTTTGATAGATACCTCACTCCCCACAATGGTCCCCTGCCACTGGTTTTGATTTGGGGCCCCAGATTTTGCGGCACACCCCTGCGAAGCCTCTCGCCTCGTTGCCCCCACCAGCACCACTGCCGTCATCGGCACGTCTCAACCAGGCAAGATTCTGAGCAGTATTAAATTCCTATGGTCTCTATTATAAAACCAACACTTTTTCTTCATTTTCCGTGTTAAAATCCTTCATCAAATACCCTTGCTCAAACACGTTATAGGATTGACTAGTAGCCAGTTGGGAAGAATGCAACCCAGTTTAAGGCATCTGGGGAAGAGGGAGAGAGAGGGTCTCTTCTAGGGCAAGTGGGAGAGTGTTTCAGTCAGGAAATTAAGCTAGCCTTTATATAATTTGTAAGAAGAGTTTCAGCATTCATGGCATGTTTAGGCAAGTTTATGAGGTAAGCAAATGATTTTATAAATAACACACAGTATTAGATCATGTATGTACAGGGTTCATGAAGGCTTACACAGAATCCCTGAGCCTCAGGAACTCCACAGTAAACCCCAGTCACCAGAAGCCCAAGTGTGGGCCCTTTGGGAGGTTTCCTGAAGGATTTCAGGGCACGTGGTTATGACTTCCAGGACACCAGAAGTCATGCTTCTGAACAGAGGGAAGCCCAAGGCCAACTGAATCCCCGTGTCATGGTGCAGAAATGTGCTTTGGGTAGGTAGGAAATTCATCCTGAAATAGAACAGAAAAGCCCGCCCCCGCCCCCCATAAAATCACCTTGAAGTCTAACAAGAAACGTACTTCCTTTGGCAGAGGATGGCATCTTCCAAAGGTTCCTTCTCCTAGTTGTTGAGGAAGGATTGATTGTTCGTTATGTATTTTTCAGTAAGGAAACTATAAAACTGAAAACGCAAGACTCCCTTGGGGGTTAAAAAGCAGTTATTTCAGAGGGAAAAAACCCTCTAATTGCAAGGACAATGGAGGAGAAAAGGCAGATGAGGGAAATGTACATGAAGGGCAAGAGCAGACAGCTGATAACAGGATAAGAAGTATCAGAAAACTACATAGAAGGAATGACAGGCAAGTGTCAAAGCTACCCTGCTGCACTTGCTGTCATGAATGCTTTGGACTGCAAGTAACAGAAAATCCAGAAGGCCCGTTTTTCTTATGTCTCTCAAATAACAGGAAGTCTGCAGATAGCCCTTGCTAGGAGTATTCGCTCAACAACTCTGTGATGTCAGAGTTCACATCTCTGTGATCCAAAGCCTGTTCCTCATGGTCATAAGATGGCTGCGGCATGGCCACTCCTAACCGGAAGGTGGCTGGGGAGAAAAGGGTTGGAAATGACGGTGAGCCAGGCAATGAACTGTCTAGCACAGCAACAGGAAAACCGGGCAAACCAGGCTTTTCTGAAAGGGGAGGAGTCTGGCAAAATGGGTAAGTGCCGAGTCCATTCAAATGGAACCTAGGCTCCCAGCTGTTGTGTAGGCTGAAGAATCTAGGGGAACATGTAAGTGTCCACATCTCTGTAGTATATGAATGAAGAGGAATAAAATACCTATTCCAAGCATACATGTGTTTCATTTTTATTACCCAAGGCATTCTCCCTTCAAAACTCTTTCAAAAAAATAAAAAGGTTCAGACGGTTATGACACAGTAAGGAGAAAACATGAATTTGATTTGCTACAAAACACAACCAAGTTCAAAAACCACATTTATTTACAAAAGTACAGAGTATCAATGTAAAAAGGAAAAAAGGAAGTAAAATGATAGGCATTCATATTTACATAGATGTGTAGGTAAAACTTATCAAGATTCTTTAAATATTTCTGCTTCTAACAAAGTCAGTTTCTAAGAATAATGCTTTATCACCTCAGGAGGAATTTTTAGGAGAATCAAGCTATATGATTCAAACTAGAACTATTCTAATGAAAAAATTATATTTTGTATTCTTCGAAAATCTCCAAGTTCCTGGAGGTCAAGTAAACCAGATCACTACCAATTTCTAAGATTCAAAAACTCTTAAATTAGGAAGTCATAAATGCTTTTAAGAAATTGATTTTAAACATCCAGGGGCATCTGAGTGGCTTAGTCAATTAAACATCCAACTTTAGCTCAGGTCATGATCTCATAGTTCGTGGTTCAAGCCCCACATTGGGTTCTGTGCTGACAGCTTGGAGCCTGAAGCCTGCTTCAGATTCTGGGTCTCTCTCTCTCTCTCTCTCTCTCTGTCCCTCCCCCATTCATACTGGGTCTCTCTCACTCTCTCTTAAAAATAAATGTTTAAAAAAAAAATCGAAATATACTATCATTTGCTGAGTACTACAATATATACTTCGTTTACATTAATTTCTTTAACAAAATTTTTTTATACATTTATTTATTTTTGATAGAGACAGAACACAAGTGGGGGAGGGGCAGAGAGAAGGAGACACAGAATCCGAAGCAGGCTCCAGGCTCCAAGCTGTCAGCACAGAGCCCGACGTGGGGTTCGAACACACAAACCGCAAGATCATGACCTGAGCTGAAGTCGGACCCTTAACCGACTGAGCCACCCAGGTGCCCCAGTTTACATTAATTTCTTAATCTATTAAAGTGCCCCAGTTTACATTAATTTCTTAATCTATTAAAATGATTACCCTAGGGTGGGACCCTACCGTTCTCTAAGGAGAAACATTAAGTCATTTACTACATAGCTCCTAGGAAAATCATCCAAAGCGTGCATTCAGCTTTTAATAACAGCAATATACATGCAGAAAGAAGGCCATACACCTAACCACTACCGTGAGTAGCCAGTTATCTGCTGGATCTTCCAAGAACAGAGACAGGTGTTCTTATGAGTCAAGACTCTTTAGACCCCCGCACTGATATATTCCAGTGCACAGACTTCATTCAACTTTGTTAACGGACTGAGATCCTTCAGCATGTAGTGAAAGGCACGCGGGCACACTTCAACGACCTTTCCTTGCCAGTGTAAACTCAGCTGACATTGTTCACACATTGGTCAACATCTTTGGGGTTTGTCAGTTCTTCCTTTAGTTCACTGTTCTGTGAAATGGGACGCCAAACGGAAATAAAGCAAACGTGCAACCCGGAAATTATTCTCAGGTAAAAGCAGATGATAATGCAATGACCAAACAACTCCTGGAGGTTTAATCCATCCAACAATAAATAGTCCTCTGAGACAGGACTATGTGTCTCTCGGGCACTGTGCCCAGAGCTGAGCACACAAAAGTGAGGAGTCTCAGCTGCAGAGACTGAATGCCCAGTCAACTACAATTTGAGTCCCCGTGTGTCCAGCCCTCAGCGAGGTGCCGTAAAATATACAAAAAGAGATGGTTCTTTCTCTAAACTGCTTGTAGTTGGTTGGAGATAAAATGCTGAACACTGAACAGTGTAAGACAACCCAGAACCTCCTCGCTTATCCACCATCACTGGGAAATATGTTCCACACAGCGAACAGCTTACATAACTGAAGGTTTTCAGATATCCAAAATTTTAATAAACCCACCTCTAGTCACTGCTCTGCCAATCCAATGTGGGGTTACAGGCAGATTATTTCAGCACTGAGGGTCAGGTGATACTGGCCTGACTTATTCATGCTTTTTTATTTTTAGGACATTGCTGTGAAGATCAAACGAGGCGTGCAGAAAAGTACATGGCAAGTTATACATTTCTACACAAATGTCAAATGTTTATTTTCAGGCACATTGGCATTTTTGATTGTAATAATTCTAAAGTAAACCATACTGGCCCTCTTACAGTTAAGAATGTCCAGAGTCAACATGATGAACACACCCACGAGTAACTCAAGAGACAGCCCTGCCCGTGCTGGAACACAAGTGGGACAATTTCCCCCACTCTGTTATGCTCTTTGAGTTGCTATCTGCTTTCCAGTTGTTCCGTGTCCACTGCTGAAGCCCCCACCCCCCACTCCTCAGAGCTATGCACCTGCCGTTAGACCCCAGCCTCCCTCCCAACCCTCTCATTCCGAAGGCTTATTCTTCTGTACCTACTACCTCAACTGAGCTGTGATATGGGAAAACCAACCCCCAAATTAAAGCTATGTCTAAATCAAAGAGACTTCAAATAAGGAGCAATTTCAAGGGTCAAATATAAATATAGAAAATGTCCTTTTAAGCAACCAAGAAGCATTGTCATTGAAGGTAATTATGATCCCATTTGCTTTTCAAAGAGCACTGTTAACATTCTATTTAACTAAATAATCCAGTCTTTATATTCGCCTGAGAAAAATACTGGAGTACTTAAGTTTCAGACTTCGTTCATACAGCAGACAGCAACATCAAGTTAGCACCCGTCCAGGACAAGTCTTTATAAACTTATGCACAAGTATTTTTCAAATCAAGTGTTTTATTTAAAAAAAAAATTCATAGTAAGGTACAAGCAAAAAAGGAGCATGTAAAAGTTAACAGAAACAACAGAAACGTTAGCGGTACCAGCAAATAACTGTATGGTCCATTCTGTGCAAGAACTTCAAGAGAACTTGAAGGCAGAGATACATCATGGACAATACGCTTTTGAAAAATTAAAAAATTAACTTTACGTTATTATAGCTCACTCTTGAAGTTTCTGGACTAGAAAATGGAGAAGACTCCCAAGACCTATTTTCTTTCTCAAAGGAATCATCTTCTTGGAATGCAAATTTCTGCTTAAGTGCATGGGATATTAAAGACACTGGATCCCAGTGTGAATCTTGTCTTTTCCTCTTATGAATGGGTCTACCTCCAGGTGACCTATTTAAAAAAAAAAAAAAAAAAAAAAAATTGAATTAAAGCCTTGTGTAATTAATTTAAGCTCCTTGTTGACAAACATGCCAGAAATACAAGCATAATAAATTACAATCTAATTATTCTTCAAGAGATTAAAAATTTTTGCCAAGGAATAAGGAATCTGGAAGGCACAATGAATTAGGAATTAGAAAACCAAGAAACTGATGGGGCACCCGGGTGGCTCAGTCAGTTGAGCGTCTGACTTCGGCTCAGGTCATGATCTCACAGTTCGTGGGTTCAAGCCCCACGTAGGGCTCTGTGCTGACAGCTCAGAGCTTGGAATCTGCTTCAGATTCTGTGCTCCATCTCTCTCTACCTGCCTGCCCTCCCCCCTCCCCACCTCTCTCTCCCTCTCTCCCCCACAAAAAAATAAACATTAAAAAAAGAAGAAGAAAAAAAAAAAGAAAACCAAGAAACCAGGAAGTCTGGTTCCTAGATGTTTGGACTGAACAACTGGATGATGGTGTTGTTGCCTTTACTGAGATGCAAAAGACTTAGGGTAGAACAGGTTTTCATTAAGCCATAGGACTAGGTGAGATCACCAAAGGAAACAATGTGGATACAGAGAGAAGGGGACTGAGGTCTGAGCCAAAGGAAGAAAGTGTTCCAAGGAGGAAGGGACCACAGACAGTACCAAATACTGCCAAGACGTCAGGTAAGAGGAACAATAAGAATTGACCATTAGATTTAGCACCAGCGTTACTGGTGACCTTGACAATGCACAGTTTTCAGTGGAGTGATGGGGACAGAGACCATATTACAGTGGGTAGAAGGCGGCGGTGAGAAATGCAAACAAAGTTCTGATGAGAAGAGTTTATATCAGAAAGAGAAGCAGAGAAATAATAATAGCTGGGGATATACATGTTTTGAAGATGGTAAATACTCAGGTATGGGGAGAATAAAGTAGAGAAGAAAAATTTGATGATGTAGAAGACAGAAGGGATAATTTTAGGTAAAATCCTTGAGAAGATAAGAGAAAAGGAGACCTAGTGACCAAGGGGAGAGCCTGGACATGAGTAATGGCATTCCATTCACAGTAACAAGAGAGAAGGCAGAGAACACGAACAGTGACTGTAACTGTGAAGATGTGGCAAATCTTATCTGACTCTGTAGTAATGTATAATGCATGGTTAGTTGTAGAAAAATGAGATACTGGGGGTGGAAGGGAGACTCTACCAGCCTCCTAGCTGTGTCTCCAGTTATGGTAACAGTCAGTCACTGTCTTACACTGACTGGGCCCAGTGATGCCAATAAGCCCTCTAGCTGGAACAAGTGTGCACATTCAGCCACATTCTTCTCTGTATCAGCTTCCTCACACAAGGGTCAAATCATACCCTCATTAATAATGAAATGATGTGTCTGCCCTAACACTATTATACAGAAAATATATTTTCTCACTAAAAACCTCATTGAGGGATTTCCAGATGAACATGGCAGATCTCTGTGAAATCCTACTAAAATGACAGTATAGAAATTAAAAAAATACATACCCACAAAGACAAAGAAATTACGAGAGAGTGGGTAAGAACTGCAACAAAACACTGGAAGACGGTGAAGATAGTGGAGGGTGAGCTGCCTTCCTGAAGGGGCTCCCCTGAAGGGACTGAGGAAAAGTCTACACACTGAATAAAATGTAAAACTCAAGACTGAGTCCCCAAGTGCCCAGCATAAGAAATTAAAAAAGGAACTCTCCAGGGAACATCGTCATGAAATTTCAAACCAGGACTAAAGAGAAGATCTTAAATGTTTCAAGAATAAGGAAAATAGATTTGATACATAGCCAGGAATGAGAATGACATCAGCTTCTCCACAGGAACAGAAGCTAAAAACTGATGGAACAATGTCTTCAAAATTCTGTGGAAAAATGGTTTTCTGCCTGTTGTATACCCAGCCAAACTAGCAATGAAGTGTTAGAATAAAATCATAATTTTCAGATATGCAAAGCCTTAAAATAATCTTTTTTATAGACCCTTTCTCAGAAAGGTATGGGAAGATAGGACACCCAAGAAATGGGTGAGGCAACACAAGAGACAGGGTAGAGAATGCCATAATGATGGCCAAGGAAATCCTTGGCATGGTAACAATGCAGCAGGCTTGGGGGAACAAGACAGTGGAGCAGAACAGAGAGCTCCTACAGGGGAAATTATTTTAAAAAGAAAAAGAAAGAAACTCAGAGAGACAATTATTAGCTGCAATAAAAAATAAAATTATTCAACAAGCAAAATGTAATCATAGCATAAGGAAATGGCTTAGCTGTGAATGTTTACTGTTATAAGGATGTAAATTCTGAATACTGATTTAAGTAAAGACGATGGATTTAACTATATGGGGAAGACAGAATAAGAAGTGTATTTATGTGTACATGTTAGGCGGCAGAATGTCTGAAAGGATGTACTCCTGAGTTTTAACAAGCGGAAATAAATATAGTTAAAATATCAAGAAATAGCAAAAGGAAGTAGTACACTGTTCCAAAATTATGGAGATAAGACACTAAAAGAAACAGTAAAAAAAAATAGAAAATGATTCTTTCTGGGAGAAGCGTTTGGAGTGAAGAAGAATCAGAGAGAAGACCTGTCTATGTTTACTTTGATAAATATAATAAATTATTACAACATCACTAATAGAATTTTGATTTATTTCTCAAGTTATGACAACATACCGTTCCACAGCACGGAGCTTAACCTTATTCATATCCTTTAGAATGTCCAACATATTCGGAACATCTTTATTTTCCTGGCTTTTCGAACGATGACTGTCATTAGTCTTACTATCACCTGACTGCTGTCTTTTCACTTCATTTGCTGAGTTATCTGAGTTACATGTATTATTAGTTCCTGGCCATGTGAGTGAACATGGACGTTGCGGAGAAGAAAGCTGAGGGGGCACTGGAGGAGGAGGAGCAGGTGGAGGGAAGAACACTGAACTTGAAAATGGATCTGGTTTGACACTCAGTTCAGCAGTTCCTGGCGATGGCCTTTGTCCCAATCTGCTAGGTTCGCTGTTCAAGTCAAAGAGGCCTAAAAACAAAGTAGTCTGTTGAAAAAATCATGCAAAATTCTCTCCAACATAACACATAACACTAATTAGAAACAAAAAAGGAACAATTTCGGTAATGCTACTAAAATAACGATGTGGCCAGGAAAAAGAAGCAATCCCATCTGCTTAGTAATTTTTATAAGAGTCAAACCAAAGAATAAGCTTATTTTTAATCCAATTAGGATTTTCTGGGTAGGCCTTTAAAGGGAGGAAGGGTGAGAATGCATTTTAAAAAGAAATCAAAAAGTGCTTTTTCAGTAATTAACATACAGTCTGAATTTCATCCTCTATTTAAAAAAGCTAAAACACAATCAACAATTCGTAGTTAGAAACATTCAAACTGGTATATTCACTCTATGATGACACTGTAGAAATGCCCAAGCATATATTTTCTAGGCAAGGCCTAGGACGGATACTGAGTACTTAACTTTTTCACAACAGATTTGCTCCCAAAAGACTTTTTAACACGACTGGTTAAAAATAATGTGTGTGTATATTTCATTTTAATTGCTATTATTATATATCAATATGTATAATATTTATGCATAAAATACATAAATATACAATACTGTATAAACATTTCATGTTATATATAAATTATATGTGTGTATATGGATGTGTACAGATACATGTATATATTATGTATGTGGGTGTATGTTGTTTAAAACCAGTCACATCTCTAAAAATTTAGAAAAGGATCATCTGGAAAACATTATTCAACCTGAATTTAGTGAAAGAACAGCAACAATAACTTCAAACTACAAATACATGAAGACCTTATATTCATCTTCTTTCAAATTAATATATTCTTCCTCATAAATATCAATGCTTTTCTGAAGAGTTAGAAAAGTTTACTTAGAAAACAGCTTTTCAATACAAAAGTACAATCTACAGCAGTACAGCTGGAACCAAAGCCATGCCCCTCACCGCAAATGTGTCTCCATTTATTCTACATAAACATCAGACATAGCAATATTACACCCTCGATATCCTCGACATATTTAATGTCATTCACAAGACACATTAGCATCTGATGCTCTCATTTGGGACCCTACTGACTGAAATGAAATGGTAGGTGAGCACCATCTAACTAAGACAGAACGCAGCATGGCACTCACCAGCGTTTGCACGGTTTTTCAGTTCCTGCATTTGCACAATTGCAGCGATCTGAGTGCGAAGAAAAGTCAGCTCATCTTCGAGGGCAGCTATTTTTTTAATTGCAGCTTCATTTACAGGCCCATCGTTTTTGGTCCGTTTATTCTGTCTTGGAGCAGGCAGCAGTGGATTCCAAACTGGTGGCAAAGGATGGAAAAATTCCATTTTCTTCTCTTCTTCATTTTTCCATATGCTATTTCTGTGGGTGGAAGGAAGGAAAAACTGAGGGGGGAGGTGGAATTTCCCCAAAGAAATAAATTCTTTCAGACAAAGAGGAATAAAGACACAAAAACAAAAATCAGAGTAGCTCTCTTCATCTCATCATTGTCTCCAGACTCACTGAGGACAAGCACAACAGCTTATGTAACTTTGTATTCTCAATATCTAGAACAGAACAGTTGCCTTTAATAAGTGACCAGTAAGTGGTCAGTGAATGAAGGAACAAGTCTTGCTTTTAGACTGTAAAACAAAAATAATTGTCTTGTAACTGTTCTACCTAATTGGTTTAAGCACAGTACAAATTGATTTATTTAGAAATAAAGTTGATTTACTTAGAAATTCTACATACTCTGAATATATGGTACTGAATGGCCTTATACTAAGCATTATGTCAGGGATATGTTTATGGTATTCTAATTTTTTTTTAATTGATAAACCACTTTGATACATAATAAATTTAGCCAGAATATTTGGATAATTGACCCTTATTGTGTTTATAGCCTATATCTGAATATACTAACACTTAAGTTAGTACTCCCGAACAGTAACACATTCAAATTTCAAATATATTTATTTAACATCGTTGCCTGGTACACAGTAAACACTATTTAAGTTTTGGCTAAATATGTAAAAAATAACCAAATATGGTATCTAGCAGAGGAAACAGCTTTCTCCTAAAAATGGACATAACGATTTTGACACCCTTTTAATATCATTCCTTCCTAGGCCTACATTAAGAGAAATAGGAAATAAAAATGTCATCCTTATTAGGAAGATATTAGTAGGTCACAGGGCAGTACAGAGACAGACACAAGATTCAATTAGTATGATCGAACTTCAACACGTGCAAGAATTAAGATTACAGCCCATATCCCACCTTCCACAGGAAGTATGTACAATTACCGAAATCTGAGATAACTGCCTTCTTCATCATTTGCCACACGCAAAGTATCAGCAAAAGATGGAACTACAGATCCATAGTTACCAGGGTCTACAGAGTTCAATAGAGGGATCAACTAAAGTAAAAAAGGGGAAGAAAAAAAAAAAAGTCAGAGCTTTGCTGGGGTGGGGGGGAGGGGGTAGAACACATGCATGCCCATGGAAATTGCCTAAATTAAAAATCCCTGAGTTAAGAGGAAAAAGGATATGCAACAGAAAAACATGCACCTGTTAGCAGGGCAAAAAATACTGAGGAAAATGTTATCTAAAGTCTAAATATGTAGCAATATTCTCTACCCTGGTTAATGTCATCTGTCATAAAACACAAACTAGAAGAATAAAATAAGCTATTCAGGTGTTGCTTTGTGTCTGCTCATCTTTGAATGTAATTACTTAAAGAAATAAACACAAAAACATGCAAGAGGTTTTTGGCTTTCAGGAAACAGTTCTTCTTCTGTTCTACTCTATCTCTAGAAGTACCTGGGATTATTGTATACATAGTGCTTAAACAATGCATGTTGACTGACTTACCTCAAAATTAGGCCTGGGACAAGGATCTAGAGGAAGAATTTTCCCAATAAGACGAACAATACTCCGAGCTGATCCATAGTCTTTATTTTCTCTAATCTGCAAAACCTATTTACACATAGAACATTGTTTAAAAACTACTCTGTTAGGGGCGCCTGGGTGGCTCAGTCGGTTAAGCGTCCAACTTCGGCTCAGGTCATGATCTCGCGGTTTTCGAGTTTGAGCCCCGCGTCTGGCTCTGTGCTGACAGCTCAGAGCCTGGAGCCTGCTACAGATTCTGTGTCTTCCCCTCTCTCTGCCCCTCCTATGCTCATGCTCCATCACTCTCTGTCTCCCAATAATAAATAAATGTTAAAAATTAAAAAAAAAACAAACCACTATTCTGTTAAAGCCATGTTTATATATCCATGAAGAAAAGTAGATGTAAAGGATGCACTTATTTTGAAACACTTATTTTGAAAAGAAAATACAGAAGGGCATACTCAAAGTATTTTCTTCAAAGAATTAAACTTTGGGGCGCCTGGGTGGCTCAGTCTGTTAAGCATCCAGCTCTTGATTTTGGCTCAGGTCATGATCTCAGAGTCCTGAGACGGAACCCCTGTCCAGCTCCGTGCTAAGCTCAGAGCCTGTTTGAGATTCTCTCTCTCTCTCCTCTCTCTCTCTCTCTCTCTCTCTCTCTCTCTCTCTGTCTCTCTGCCTCCCATGCCCCTGCTAGTTCTCTAAATAAATAAACTTAAAAAAAAAAATTAAACTTCATTCATATTTGTCCTAAAAAGAAAAAAAAAAAAAAAAAAAAAAAAGGATGGGAGTTAACCTATGTAATATTCCAGAAAGAAAGGTCTCTTAAGAAAGCACCACAGGGGCACCTGGGTGGCTCACTTGGTTAAACATCCAACTTCAGCTTAGGTCATGATCTCCCAGTTCGTGCATTCGAGCCCCACATCGGGCTCCATGTTGACAGCTCAGGGCCTGGAGCCTGCTTCAGATTCTGTGTCCCCCTCTCCCTTTGCCCCTGTCCTGCTCATGTTCTGTTTCTCTCTCTCAAAAATAAATAAACATTAAAAAAAAAAAAAAAGGACCACAAATTCACTTTTGTCCTATTTCTGATAATGACAAAATATTTTAGGGGCGCCTGGGTGGCTCAGTCGGTTAAGCGGCCAACTTCGGCTCAGGTCATGATCTCGTGGTCCGTGAGTTCAAGCCCTGCGTCGGGCTCTGTGCTGACAGCTCAGAGCCTGGAGCCTGCTTCAGATTCTGTGTCTCCCTCTCTCTGACCCTCCCCCGTTCATGCTCTGTCTCTCTCTGTCTCAAAAATAAATAAACGTTAAAAAAACAAAAACAAAAAAAAAAAAACTTGAGGGAACTTTATCCAGAAAAATTGCCTCCTCTCCTCCCAGCTAAACATCTTTTGGCCCAGTCAAAAATTGACAATTTCAGTTTCTCAAACAATGAGGTAATACAGAGTGCACTTATGTAATTCCTTTCAAAGGTGAAATAAAGAGGGGGAACAAACTAATCCGGCATTAGACAATTTAAGAATTCTTTACTTACAGCGAACTATATCTGCCAGAAGTCAGTTCTTAGAAAGATGATAGAAATGAAATACGCTACTATAATTCAAATAACATCTTGTCTTTGGCTTGGGCTTTCCAAATTGGTGTAAACAATTCCCACAGAAGCCTCCTCAAAAATATGACATAATATTTCTGCTTTTGGCAGAGATTTCAAGACAAAGAAAGCACTTTCTTCAAAAAGCATTAAAACTTGGACTTTTCTTTTTTCCTAAGATCCCATAACAAGGAGAGTTTATTACAAGCAACAGACGTAGGTAGCATCCTAACAGCATCTTCTTGGAAATGGACATACAGTTCTAGAACTCAGGAAAAAAATCTGGGATTTAGATGGATTTGGGAATCGTCAGCAGACACAATACATGATAGGTAAAAATTAAAGCCATTTGACTAGTTGAGAAAAACTGGGGCTAGAGAGGAAGATCCAGAAGCCACTGGCACAGAAAATGCCATTCCTCTACTTTCAAATAGTAAGATTCTGAATGTATCCGATCACATCCAAACACCTGAGTTCAGAACCTGACTATATGAAAGTAGAGGAAACATTAAAACATTAAACTGATTACATCATAGGGTGCCTGGGTGGCTCAGTCAGTTAAGTGTCCAACTTCAGCTTGGTGTCGTGATGCCGCGGTTTGTGAGTTCGAGCCCCGGGTCGGGCTCTGTGCTGACAGCTCGGAGCCTGGAGCCTGCTTCAGATTCTGTGTCTCCCTCTCTCTCTGTTTAATGTTTAATAAAAAATTTGAAAAATCTTTTTAAACAGATTACATCTACTGGCCTCATAAGCTTCCATCAATTCTGCGATCTCAGTCTCCACAACATCCTCCATGTATTCTGTATTATTCTCCAGTCACTCTGAAAAGTCCTCTGCCACTTGGCACAGTTCTATCTATCCGACCGAATTACCCACTCACTACGTCAATAACACGAGCTCTTTTGCGTATAGCAATTTTCCTCATGGTCTCAAAGACAAGCCAATGTTATCCTAATTGCCAAGCACTTACGCATGTGCCCAAAGGGCACCACTCTACCTCCAGCCCTGGCACCAGCTGTTTTTACCTGTGTTCTAATGTCAGATGCACACTCCTCTACAAATTTGACTCTGCTTTCGGGAGTTTCCTAGGCTCTAAATTCCTAAACCAGTTCCAAGGAGCACCACACAACAGGATACCTAACTACACGTAACTTTGTTTCATTTGCCGTGTTCTCTCTGCTCCATTAAGACTGTCAACTCCAGGGGCAGAGATGTGTTTTTGTTCCTTTTCAATCCTACAGGGTAGTAGTTCTTAACCATAAATCACAATCACCTACACCTACAATCACTTCAGAAGTACGTATTCTCCAAAAGAAAAAAAAATACAAACCACATATGTAAGACAAATTTTCTAGTAGCTACATCTGAAAAAGTAGAAAGAGGTAAAATTAATTTATGTTCATTTATTTTTGAGAGACAGACAGACAGACAGGGCAAGGGAAGGGCAGAGAGAGAGAGGGAGACACAGAATCTGAAGCAGGCTCCAGGCTCTGAGCTGTCAGCACAGAACCAGATGCGGGGCTCGAACCCGCAAAATGTTGATTATGACCCGAGCCAAAGTTGGATGCTCAATCAACTGAGTCTTCCAGGAGCCCCAAGTGTTTATTTTACTTTTGAAAGAGAGAGAGGGAGAGTATGAGCAGGGGAAGGGCAGAGAGAGACTGGGAGACAGAGGATCTGAAGCAGGCTCTGTGCTGACAGCAGACAGCCCAATGCAGGACTTGAACTCACAAACGGTGAGATCATGACCTGAGCTGAAGTTGGAGGCTTAACAGACTGAGCCCCCCAGGCGACCCGGACTTTACTGATGTGACTTTCCTACCAAGCAGAGATTTTCAAGTTGTTTCAGTGATAGGTTCATTACCACTCAAAAAGTGTTCATCCTCTTGATATTATGTGTTCTCATATTACTAATGGATAAATTACCCCAACTACTCTTAGCTGGAGAAAATAAATTACAAAAACAACAATATTTAGAAAGACTACAAATCCATGCTGACTTCAGCTGGGTATTCTGCACAGGTATATTCTGCGACCTCTTCAGAGCATGTGTTGTTCTCTACTGTCTTGCCCAAAGCAATCACCGATCTCTGAAATCCCCAAAGCCACCATTTTTATTACCTGGCAGAAGCCTTGACTCTGCTCTTACTGAGAAAACCAAGGACTCCAACTTAACATACCTCAATTTTTATTTCTGTCCATCCCAAACCTCTCCACCATCTCTCACTTTTATCCTACTCAACTGTCTGTCTTCTTTCCAGACTTATTATTTATATTCCTTGCCCAGCTACCTTCTCCAGGACATTGCTCATCACTCGCTCTTTCATTTGAATTTTTAACTTTTTTTTCCTGTCTATGAGGTTCTTCTCCAATGCTTGCAAACATGAAGTTATCTCTAACACTGGAAAAAAAAAATGGCGATCCTACTCCTTCAAGTTGATGGCTCTTGATCTCTTTTCACAAACTTTTCAAAAGAAAGTTGCTGATGCCACTACCCTTCCTTAGTTATTCTTCAAACTACACTACAGCCGCCACTCCACCTACACAAATCCCTAAAGGTATCAATAATCCAATAATAAGCAGATCTTTAACTACTATTCAGTCCTCATTATCTTCAATGTATTCTTGAAATTCAAAATGCATCAGTAACACCCAACATCTTCCATTATGTCACCAAAGTCCCTGAATTCAAATATCAAAAGAATGTAGATAACCACAAATCTGAAATCTCTTTTTCCAACATTCTAGAACTATTTCTCTATCTGTAGGATATTTGTATTTATATAATCCAACAGCACATCTGGCTCACTTCACCTGCTGATTCAAACTAGTTCCTCATACTGAATTGCCTATTTATAATATAATAATTGCCTATTTATAATTTATAACCACTCTTCAACTTACTTTTGTTTAAAATCTTGAAAGTGTCCTTGGCTATTCTCTTCTAATTCACCCCAACAAATAGCAATGATTTGCCCATTCTATAAACTCCCCAACTATTCTTTCTTATATTCAATCTTGTATTATAGTTATCTGTATGTTATTTGTCATATTGTATTTTAAGCAGTATGAATACAAGATCGTGTATTGCTCTATACCACCCAAAGAACCAAGCATATTGTGTTGGATATGGTAATGCTCCATAAGTAGAGAAAATTGGATTTGCTTGTACTCCTTAGGCCTAAGTCATCCTCTCTCCAGATTTATTCTGAATTTGTTGAGCTATAACTTGCCATTATATACCCAAATATCAAACTTAAATTACTTTTTTTAAAAAAAAAAATTTTTTTTTAACGTTTGTTTATTTTTGAGACAGAGAGAGACAGAGCATGAGCATGGGAGGGTCAGAGAGAGAGGGAGACACAGAATCGGAAGCAGGCTCCAGGCTCCGAGCCATCAGCCCAGAGCCCGACGCGGGGCTCGAACTCACGGATCGCGAGATCGTGACCTGAGCTGAAGTCGGACGCCCAACCGACCGAGCCACCCAGGCGCCCCCAAACTTAAATTACTTTAAATAAAGCCACTGGATAATTAAAATATATTTTACCTGTGAAGGTCATATCTATATTTTGCTGCATGTGCACCTTTTGCTGGCATTTGACCTATCTAGTAAATAGGTTGCTAATAATCTTATCCTCCCCCTCCCCCCACCCTTTTTTTTTTTTTT